AACATAATTAACCCAAATATAAATAATATAAAATTTTTTTTTTGAAAAAATGACATTTTTGTAAATATCTCAAAAGTGTGGCATTTTTGTAAATGACATTTGAAAAATGGCATTTTTTGAAATTTAATTCGGTTTGTATGGTCGTGGTTTCTATAGACCATATTAAAAGTCATCTATGTAGTGAAACTATAACTTAAATAGTATTATAACATTTTAGTTTAAGGTGATTTTGTTTGTTATACACAAGAACGTATAAAAAATAATTTACAATAAAAAAATATGAATTCGAATAGAATCAAACTTTTGGCTAGCTTCTCATAGTGGTTTTCACACTTTCTTAAAAGTTTTACTCATATAGATCAACACATTAAGACAAGATTGAAGAAACTTAGAACTAATAATTTGTACTTAGATTAACATAGCAGCTTCAATAAGTTGTATACAGAAACTTTATTCCATTCTCTTACAAAAATTCATCAATGTGTACACTTTACGTAATCTGATTCCTTTCTTCTCCATACACTTCAAGAACTATTTACTTTTCTTTCTTCATACATAATGCCTACACTCCAATCTTTCCTCCTCAAAATCTCCCAAATTGACAAAGTCAGAAAATTATCAAAGCACAATGACACCGGACCGAACAACTATCCCGATCAGGACCAGTCCCGTGGCTCAAACACAACCCTTGAAGCGTCACCATTCGGCTAGCTACTATGCTCACCGGGTCAAAGAAAGTCTCTCAACCCGAATTTCTAAATTCATCTGCGCAATCTTTCTATTGGTCCTGTTCTTTGTAGGCATCATTGCTTTCATACTTTTTCTCAGTTTACGCCCTCATCGACCTCGGTTCCATATCCATGACTTTGTGGTTCAAGGACTAGACCAGCCTAACGGATTTGAAAACGCAAGAATTGCTTTCAACGTAACCATACTCAACCCGAACCAACACATGGGTGTTTACTTTGATGCAATGGATGGTTTCATCTACTACAAAGATCAACGTGTTGGATCAAGCCCGTTGCTAAGCCCGTTTTTCCAGCAGCCGACTAACACAACAATCGTGACCAGGACGCTTACTGGAGCTTCCTTAACGGTAAATAGTCGCCGTTGGACTGAGTTTACTAATGATCGGGCTCTAGGAACGGTGGCTTTTAAGCTCGATATAGTTTCGAATATCCGGTTTAAGCTGTCTAGGTGGATCAGTAAGCACCATAGGATGCACGCTAATTGCAATATCGTGGTCGGACGAGACGGGTTGATCTTGCCCAAGCTTAACCATAAACGGTGTCCTGTCTACTTCACTTAGATTGATTTGTTGTTTGCTGTTTTCTCTTTTGTATTTGACCTTTCCTTTTGATTGGTTTTTGCTTTCTTTACATTTTGTAATTTGGATTGGGACTTTGGTTTTTCTCATTCAATGTATTATCTTTGAGTTATACTCCAATATATAAGAAAGCATGAGCTAAACGATTTGGTAAAAGTAAATTGAAAGCAACTGGCAGATACTTTAACCTTATTACCCCAGATTTGGTCCCTGGAATCCGGTAAATCGAATAAGTTATGGTTTCCTCTTGCTCGAAATCTGGGCTTCAACAATCTGCCTTCTCCATTGATGAATTGGGACCTGAAATTTGAACAGTTTTGTAAGAAGAAACAATGTATATCAGAAGCGAAAGTAGAGCCCGGCTCTGTTTTAGTCGAGTATGGATCGATTCAGGTTCTTGGTTTGACTGGTTCATGATAAAATGTCGAAGCAAACTTAGAATTTTGATGAATGTTGAAAAAAAAATACGAGATTGGAGAATTAATAGAAGAGAAAGAGTGATGCTTACTGCAGGGAAGCCGCCGAAATCCCCTGGTTCGGTAATGTTTTTAGTAACACAACTATTTGCAGCAAGTCGAACCTATAGATGAAGCGCGACACAGTTTCATAACTCTGTTTATGAAATTCAACTTGAGGGGAAGTCTACAAGTATTTACCTTGGATACAATGGAGACATGGTCTCGGACACCAACCCGTCCTCCTAAAGCAACATAGTCTCCAATCCTACAAATCATTGTCGAGAAGACAGCATTGTGAACCCAAAACAATTTCATTCGATGGAACATAGAATTTTTTGGTTGTAAGCATTTACTCTGCTGATCCAGCTACGCCTACTTGGCCACAGAGCAAGCAACACTTGCCAATAATCACATTGTGACCAATCTGCAAAACAAGAAAAGGAAAATAAAGCATCTTAATTCTCAGATATACACTGAGATCTATGGCGCGAGTTACAAGAAATGATTGAAGTCGAACCTGAACTAAATTGTCTATCTTAGTATCATCTCCAATCACTGTATCTCTCCAGCTACGTAAATTGGAAAGGGTTACAAAGTTAATGAGTCCCATTGAATAACACAGTGTTCTATGGAATTTATTCAGTGGATTTTTCTGTTACCTGCCCCGATCAATGCATGTATTTGCTCCAATTTCCACACGATTCCCTATCCTCACATTTAAAGTCTAAAGGGAGCAAGAAAAGACAGTCGAACAAAGGATTACGAAAGAGAAAAAGTGCTGCAAATTGTTACTCAGCTTCAACAGAGCAATCTAGGTGTGCTTACTTGAGGCTTCTTCACCATGTTTCCGTGGTCATCCACTTGAAATCCAAATCCTAAACATCAAAGATTAGTCTAACTCAATCCATTTAGGAAAAGTAGAATCTGAATTTATAAAATCGATATTGAAACTCAGAAGTTCAATGAGTCGGTTCATACCATCTTGACCAATGCAGACTCCATTGTGAATGACACATAAATCACCAATACTACAGTTACTCACTGAAACATTGTATCTACAGACAAAACGCAGCAAACAGATTCTTTCAACATATTTCCCAAACCATGTACAAGTGTCATAAGCCGAAAATGTTACCCGATCTTTGTAGAAGGACCGATTTTTACTGACGGTCCAATTACAGTGTTAGATCCTATATGAACCTCCGCACCCAATATCGCTTTTTCGTGAACCACTGCTCCAAACTCAACTAGAGCCGATGTATCAATTACGGCTGAGCTATGGTATGTTCCTCCTCCGTTTCGCCATCTCAGAAACCCTTTATTAACATTACCTCCATGACTAGTCTCTAACGTTGACAATAACAGAAACACAAGAAAAGCATCTCAATTACATAGAATACAAAAAATTTCACCATCTAAATGCCAAAATCTGGACTCTTGAAAGTTTAAATTGATGAACATTTCTCCTTAAGAGTATCATATAACACAACAACTTTATAAACACACATTTTAAACCTACCCTTATACAAGACACTGATCCGAATCTCAGAGATAAACACTGTTTGTGTATTCTGTACGATAAAAAGAGGTTTCAGAATAAATTTTCGCTGATACATAGCATTACATATTCTTTGAGACATTTCACCAAACACTTGGCGTACACTATAACTTCATGAACTAAATGCAAACAAAACTCAAATTTTTTTAAGTCCTAAATTCTCAACGAGACTCACCATTATTTGGAGAAACATCAACAGTCTTAGATTCAACTGAATGATCTGAGCAAACGCATAAATTTCGACAACCAGTTGAAAAGCCAGGTAGATTCTTCAAGAAGACGTCATGAGTAGAAGAAGCTGAGAAAAATCTTCGCGAAGTATTCGCCATTGTCAATCCTAACAGTGACGGAGAAGAATTGGAAAAAGCTTCGAACTTTATTTTTATTTATTTCTCTTGCAAAGCTTTAAACTTTTTTCTTTAACAACGAATATTTTTTTCATTAAGAAACTCAAAGAAGAAAAACAGAGCCAAAACAAAAAAAAACATTTGTTTCAAATCCTCTGTTTCTCTAGAGATAAACGGTTATGCATCTGATCAATCTGTGACAAGCAAGTCTTTGCCTTTGTCTGTTGATGATTCTTCCATCACTATTGTTCATCCTTGTTGACTCCATTTGTGTAACTAGAGTTAAGACCTTTATTGGAAATGTAGTTCCAATCAAATACATGTTGTGTTGAAACTATGTGAAACAGAAGAAGAACTGCTTAAGAACAATGACACTGAAGAAGCTCTGAATAAGAACATATTAAACAATCAGGAGATTTTTCTCATACATCATTGCCAAGAAAGCAAGTTTGATCCCGTCATCGCACTATCAAATTGAGAACAAGAAAAGATTCCGAAAGAAATCTTTGTATGAACTTACGAAATGTGACAAAACCACAATCAGAAACTACAGACACTCTAAAACAATCTGATGTTGTTATACAGATGAGTGAGGAACCCGAAGCACCAGCTTTTAACCGTAGCTTAGACGAGAGTCGAGGAGTTTTGTAGAAGTTTGTCTGCGAGGTATTCCGATCTCACATGCATTCACTCTAGCAGCAAACCGAAGAGAGCAAAGGGATTCTCCAGTAGAAGATGGATCAGGTGATATGTTTACAAACATTAAGGTCTTTGAGTCCCCTCCTAAACAAGGCTGTTCAAACAATGATTCTTCTTTATTAGAATGATGATCCAGTTAGATGCAATATGTGCAAAGAAAGGATTCAGAATAATCCAGACAAATACTAACCTGGAGCAGATATGTTAACTTTGAGTTTCTGAAAGGAACATGATCCTCTTTCTTTGCCAATGCAAATATAACATCACTCAAAGCAGACAAGCTTTTGTTTATAGCCTGTTGTAGTCAAGAACAAAGATTAGTGGGGGATTAAACTCCATGGGAATAGCTTAGAAGACTGTATTTTATAAACCTGTGTCTCTTTTAGCCGCTCTCCTGTTGCTCCGCTCTTTGAAAGTCTCTCACTTCCAGCAAGATCAATTAGGTTCAGAACACCTTGAACTTGCTGTTCAGTGCTCTGAAATAGGAGAGTGGTGACGATTAAGAAGAGAATTTCAAAAGTGAGAAAGAAAAACTTACAACAAAATAATCAACCCAAAAGGCAAAGAAATTAACCTCATTGACTCCAGAAATCCGAAGAGTGAACACGAAATGGCTCCTTGATGACTGCTCGTTCATTTGAGTCTTACCAACAGACCTGCAAAATAAGAGTTGTAAATTATTACTCCAAAAATTTTAGCTTGCATTAGCGTTAACGCATACAGAAAAACCAGTGTAACAATATTCTCAAAAAGCCATGTCATTCGATACTACTAGATATGTCTGGCAATCACATGAACCAAAGAAAGTAGTGTATCTGCAAATGATGTGGGATACAGAATAAAAGGCAGATAGTTCCAAAAAACCTAAGAACCAACCTGCTCTGAGCAGCCTGCTGCAAGAGTGAGGAGATTTGTCCAATGCTGCCTACATCTACTATTGTCAGGTCACTAACATGAGTGTTTCCATTAACATCATGTGTTATTGTATACTGTCTTCCAGAGGTGTTACTGTCTGCTCGTACAGACTCTATAGCAATTGTTCGGTTTGAAGAAAGCAAGTCCCTGATGGACTCATTGTAAATCTCCAACATTGAGACCTACACATAAACTGAAAATCAAAACAATGCTACCAATAAGAGCATTTAACAAAAGTTAGAACATTCGGGGAGAAATATATACCTGCATCTTGTACTTCCAGCCTTGTGTACTAAGAGATTGACTGGTTTTGAATATTTGTTCAAGTGATCGTGGGATCAGTCCTTTCTGTTCTGGCGTTTCTGGCCTGCCCATCATCGTGTAGGTTTTGCCAGACCCCGTTTGACCATATGCAAATATACAAACCTGTGTCCACAAAGATTTACGAAATGTGCAATGAACAAAGGAATCAGGACAAAAGATTTAAATAAAATGATCTAGAATTTTACACAAGCACAAAAACCATGATTCAAATACTTGCATCTAACCAGAGTATTATTTGCAAACGGGCATTTCATTTACAAGATAATCAAAATAAGGAAGATGACAAACCTTATAGCCATCCAATGCGCTCTGTACAAGTTGAGATATTTCAAAGAATACTTCCTCTTGAGAAGCTCCGTGGTCGAAGACCTTGTCAAAGGTGAAAGGATGCTTGTTACCTGAGAGCACGAAAAGTGAATAAATGTCTAGGACAAGCATATTTCTCATAAAAGAGCAAAGTAAATCAGGTGAACCAATGAATATACCGCTTTGGACCACATCAATGCCTCTCCCAAGAGATTCAGTTGAAGTAGGATAGGCAATAACGCTGGCCTCTTGACGTCCTCCATCATCTGGTAGTAAGGGACGCACTCGGCAGAACACGCGAATGTTTCCTTTTAGTTCCTGATAAAAGCTTTGCTTAGTAAACTTAAAGAAATCCCCGGGAAGTTAAAATGTTGCCAAAAAGACATTTTCTTACAAGAATGGTGTTATGAAGCTTCTTCCGTAACAACTCTCCTTCACAAAGTTGATGCTCCGTGTCTGCAAGGCGGTCTTGCAGTTCACGCGTACGTTGTTTCTGCTCCTCAAATTCTGTCATAGTATGAGACATAGATGCATCAACCATCTGTTAAAAGCAAATAAAAAGTATGTCAACGAAAAGCAAAATCGTCAAATAAAAGTGTCTGAAAGTTGAGTATCTAAGATTAGACCATTACCTGTAGCTTATCTTTCGCAAAAGCTAATTCCTGTTCCAGCATTTTTATACGCTCTTTTTGCAACGAACATGTTTCCTGTAAGATTGGTACTGTCAGACAACTGAATATAAGACAAGGATGCAAAAATTCTACTTCTAACCTCCAATGATCCTGATTTTGCAATCAAAATATCCAACTCATGAGATGACTTCCCAACACTCTCCTTATACTTTAGTATCTCATCAGCCAGCTTTTGTGACTGTACAACCTGGCGATCACGATCCTCGCGGACTTGTTGGAGTTCACTCCGAAGGTTCTTGACTTCCATCAGCAATGACTCCTTTTGTTTTACAGCTTCATCTTGTGAAACCTTGACCACAGATAGGAATGAAAAACAAATTAAGGCAAGAAAAACAATTCGATTAAAAACAAACCACGTCCATAGTAGATAAGGGACACTTACTCGGCTCGATGCTAGTTGATCTTGCAGTGATTTACTGTGACCTCTTAGTGTAGTAAGGTTCTCCAGTATACTTGACTTTTCTTTCTCAGCACGAGTGTGTGCCTCTCGAACTGCTTCAAGATCTGTCTGGAGTTTGGTGTTATATTGTTGCAAACTCGTGTTGTACTCTTGCAGCCTTTTGTACATATCTTCCAGGGACGCCACCTAGAAATGAAAACAATCCATTAACCCAACAACTTAAAGATTACAGAACAATCCAGAAACAAAGAATGAAACACCGATCTGCTGTACCTTATGCTTGGCAGCCATTTTCTCTTCTTTCACTCTGTCAAGCTCTTCTCGGAGAGAATCTTGAAGCTTTTCAGCTGCAACTCTACATTCTTTTTCTCTTCTGTGATTTTCAGTTGCATCCTAGTAGCATTAACCAATAAGGAGAAACCAAACTTAATAAATAAAATCTTTGGGAGACAAGTTGTTCAATGAACAAAAAACCAGGGGGATGTAAAGCCTTACCAACTTACTCAGCTCCTCCTTTGAGAGCTTTTCCTGTAGTGATGCTATGTTCTTCTTCATCTCTGCTATAGTAGCTTGGAGCTCTTCCTCTTTGGTCTTTGCATCCAACTCTAGAAGTAATTAGGAGTTCATATTCAGTAGTGTACACAAATTTGATATGAGGACATAAAACGATATGGAGGAAACTAAACTCACCTTTATCACTGTATCTTTTCTCTGCAGATTCCAGCAAAGAGCGAAGATTTTCCTTCTCCTGGACATGGGTTTCTTCCACTTGTTGGAACCATCTAACACAAACCTTAAGTTTTTTGATGATATCCGTCATTTGCTCAATCTTAGCCTGTAGTACCACAAGGAAACCAAAAAGAAAAGCCTTTTTTTAAGTGAAACAGCAAAGGAACATTTCCGAAATATCCTAGCTCTCTCGTTAGTTATCAGTTAGCAAACCTTGGTATCAAACTTTCCAGCTTTAGCTCTCTCGTTAAGCAAAGCCATCACTTCATCTTTTGTAAATTCAACTTTACCACACTCCTCAGTGCTACCCACATCGCTGTTAGCAGTAACATCTTGTCTATTCACTGTGGAAAGCACTTGTCTTCTTCCTGTACCTTGTGTTTCCATTTTCCTTCGCTTGTCAAAGGGAATGCTAGAGAGACCTTCCTTTTTCTGAAAATTGTTCAGAAACAAACAAGAAAATATTCAATTTTTTTTAATCAATTTCTCAAGAGAACCCATAATCCTGTTATTACAATCCAAAATCGCAGGAACCCACAGTCTCAAACAAAGAATCACTGTGGAATTTCAATTGAAGAGAGCTTAATCACTTAATCTGGTATTCAATAGAACAAAACCCTAAAGACAGATTCCAGTGAATCAGACGGCCATATTCAAACAATTAAACTAAATCTTATCTTCT